AGGTGGGAGGAGGAGAGGAAGAGGCTGCCGCTGCTCCTTCCCAAGAATTGCAGCCAAATGCGTAAATAAACGTGGGAAAGGCAGCTGGTGTTGAGGCGAAGGAAGTGCCTGGGAAGTGCCTGTGGGATGGGAAGCAAATGGGCGATGCCCGGGATGTCGTGGGGCTGCGGGCAGGGCTGGCGGGGCAGTCCCTGGTGGGGCCGGGGGCAGGGGCTCCGGGCGCCTGGGGTGTGCGCCTTCCCCCTGAGAGGTTACAGCATGAAACTGTAATAAAGCACAGTTTTGCAGATTGTGTTTAGTCATCTTTGCAAGGCCTTTTCAGGGCTGGCTCTGCAGCACGAGTACTTTGTGATTAATACTCATTTATGTTTAAATTCTGTAGGTAAAATTACATTTGCAATCTTTTCTCTTAACGAGCATTGAAGCGACTGCTGCTTTATCTGTCCAAGGTCACAGAGGGCTTGCATTTCTCTGCCTTACGAGATGACTGGTTGGTCACATTTAACCACGTTCAATGCAGTTGACACGTGACATTTTTAGTGAGTTCTCTTTAGCAAGTTTCTGAGGATTTTGAGTTAGGCAGCCTTTGAATGACATCAAGTTTATTTCTTAAACGTACTGGAGCAAACCTGCACTTAAATCTGTTCCTCACGTTGGGAAGCTACTTGACTGTCAGAAAGGAGCCTAAGTTGGTTCCATGTCAGAGACACACCTCACCTTGCTCCCAAGGCAACCAAGATAAAATAAAAAAAACAACCCAAAACAAAACAAAAAAAAATCATTTTCAACTTTTTGTAGGTGCGTGTTCCCATTTTCCATATCTAACTTTACTAACATAAAGCTCTTTCTTTTCTTTTGCCACAGACTGGAGGTTTCTCTGAAGCTTCATCTTCAAGATGAAGTTTTTATTAGTGGTTTTCTTTTTCATCTCATTCTCCTTATGGGTTGAAGAAGTCTGTTCCAAAGAGAAGTCTTCAAAGAAAGGAAAGGGGAAAAAGAAGCAGTATCTGTGTCCATCGTATGTTCCTTGTTTCTTTTATGCTTTTGTGTGGTGTTCATCCTACTATATTTGTAATTGTGGAAATTATGCGGAAGTTGAAGGTGCTGCTTTCTGCTGCAAAAATGGGGGTTGGGGTGGGAATGAGAGAAAGAGGGCTTGAGCAGCATCATAGCTAAGTTCTGTCAATGATTGTGATTCTTTAGTGGCTGGTCCACTGTTTTAATGAAGGGAACATCGAGGCCATAGCAGATGGTTTATTTCTTTGTGGGGGATTCCAACCCCAGTGTCCTGCTGTCTCTGAGAACACAGTATGAAGTCCCATAGTGCTTTCCTCTGTAGCTTTGTGTTGCAGATGTGCTGAGGAAAGCAAGGACGATGCAAAACTGTTGTACTGAAATTCAGTTTCTGATTAACTTAGTTCTGTAAGAGAAGGCTTGTCCTATGCATGTTCTTACTGCATGTTGGATAGAATTAAGGTCTTCAGCATTTTCCATCAATAATTTACAGCACTGTAACTTTTATGGAGGTGGATTGATTGCTGCTATAAAGCATGCCCTTATGAAATACTCTCTCTGTGAAAATACAGAAATTAAAATCTGTGATTGCCTGGCTGAGTAGAGAATATATTCTGGGCATCTGTGATTACTTGATGTTAAAGAATACTCCCTCCTTCTAATGCCTAGCACGTTTTTGGTTGAGATCCATAGGACATTACAACAGTTTTATTTGTGAGATCTCTTTTGTCATTTTCTTGGCCAGCCTTGCTCATCTTTTTAGTGTTATAGTGTAAATATCCAAGGACAAGATCAGTGGAATATACTGAGTTGCCAATAAGAGTAGAAGAGCAGTAGGCCTGAAATGATAAAATTTTTCAGGCAGATTTCAGACACGCTCTGGGGAGAACTCGTAGTGTCCTTGCAATACTTGAAGAGGGAGGTTTTCTTCAGGAAACCTGGGGAGGGGTTTTTTACAAGGGCTCATAGTGAGAGGACAAGAGGTAATGGATCAAAACTGGAAGAGTGGAGATTTAGGTTAGACATTAGGAAGAAATTCTTTAGTGTGAGGGTGGTGAGACATTGCAGTGGGTTGCCCAGGGAAGTTGTGGAAGCCCCATCCCTGGAAGTTTTCAAGACCAGGTTGGATGGGGCCCTGAACAGCTTGATCTGGTGGAAGGTGTTCCTGCCCATGCAGGGGAGTTGGAACTATATGATCTTAGAGGTCCCTTTCAGCTCAAACCGTTCTATGATTCTGTAATTCTTCTTTGCCCATAAAAGACGACTAGAAAATGAGACCAGCTATTTAACACGAATAGACTTCTTTAAAAATAGGGGGGAAAAAAAGTAGAACACCTGAATGGAAGCAATGTTTAAATAATACTTTTTAAAGTTCCCACTGTTTTAAAATATTGACAGTGATGTTTATTTGTAACCCAGAATTTTCAGGTTTCTACATATGATGAGTGTTTTCATTCCTTATTTTTATATCAAACCTGAAAAAATGAAATAATACAATTACAGAATTATAGAGTGTTAGATGTTGGAAGATGTTGGAAGAGATCATTGAGTTCAACGCTCCTGACAGAGCAGGACCACCTAGGGTAGGTCACACAGAAACGCATCCAGATGTGTCTTGAAAGTCTCCAGAGAAGGAGACTCCACAATCTCTCTGGGCAGCCTGGTCCAGTGCTGTAACCCTTACTGTAAGGAAGTTTACAGTAAAGAGATGTATGTTCAGGTTTGCATATATTAGGATACAGGTCTCAAATGCGATCATGACTCATCGGAAATGACCCCTACTCATTCTATCCCCTTTGAGTTGTTCAGTTGAACCCCCTGTGGAACTTTTGGTCTGAGCTATCATGAGGATTTGTAGCAAGGAGAGAAACATTGTAGTTCCCAGAACTGGCTTAAGCACTGAAGGCCTCAGAAAGTGAGTTACACAGCTGGGAACTCAATCTGGATCTTCCACAGGAGCCACCAGCATTTCCCCCATTCTTGGTCTTAATTAGAATTGAAAACAAGTGGATGGATTTATTTCTTTTTTCTCTTAAGTATTGTATTTCTTGGTACCCTACTCTTTTTTATACTGGGGGTGTTACAAGCCATTCTACGATTTTATGATTGTATGATGAAGTCATGTCGTTGTGTAATGACATTGTAGTAATGACAAGCATTGTGTAAATGCTATACTTTTCAAAGCTATACTTTTCGTTCCAGACAGTTGAAGCTTTCTGTGAAAATACTATTGGAATCCAGTATTTGTCTGATTATCATGTATTCAGTGTTGCAAGCTGGAATTCATTGCCCTATCAATAAGCCATACTGGATTTTCTGAATAATTAACAAGTTGCCTAGATTTTACTTGGCTGAAGTTCACAGCTTCAGAGACAACCACTTGTAGTGAGAGGACAAGGGGTAATGGATTAAAACTTGAAGAGGGAAGATATAGGTTAGGCATTAGGAAGAAATTGTTTTGTGTGAGAATGGTGAGACACTGGTACAGGTTGCCCAGGGAAGCTATGGAGGCCCCAGCCCTGAAAGCGTTCAAGGGCAGGTTGGATTGGGCTCTGAGCACCCTGGTCTAGTAGGAGGTGTTCCTGCTCATACAGGGCACTTGGAACTAGATGATCGTTAAAGTCCCTTCCAACACAAACCATTCTATAATTCTATTATTTTTTGATTCTATGAAAACAGCAGGGCTGCAGAATTGCTGTTTTTGTGACTGGCACCTAGCAGGCCTCAGATGTGAATAAGCAATGAAGGTCAGTTCTGTGTTGCAGAGAAATTATTGAATGCTCTCTTAGGCTACTGATGGCAAACTTCTAATCTCCAGCATGTTATTTATAATCTCTCACAAAAGTTTTTTAGTTGGTGACACCACTTTATAAAAAAGGCTGCCTAATCTTCACCATTTTTTTCCTGCGAATAAAGTAAGGAATCTTTCCTCACAAACAAAGCAGAGCACAATGCAGTGGAGTGGGAAATAAGTGACACCATAAGGATTGACCCAAAATAGTTTTGAAGGGAGTGATTGATTTAAAAATTTATTAGTAAAGCAGCAGAGAAATCTTTTAGAATAATGCATTGTATCTTTTTTAAAGAAAACCAAATTTGTGTAATTTATAAAATAGAATGGTATAAATTCCTAAAGAAACATATATTTAGAAATAAAAATCTTAATCTACCTTTAATTTGCATTGGTTACTGGTGCAAGAACATTTAAAGCTTAATTGTAACAAGTTATTGCCTTTTGTTTCCTTACAACATGGGAAAAGCTAAATTTTACCTCCTTTGGAGAACAAGCTAGTAATTATATAAGGAACAATCTTCTCTTTACAAACTTTATAATTAAATTCAAATGTATGGAAATAATTTTCCAGGAAAGACTTATGCAGAATCTGATGTTACTGCTAGAGTTCTTTAGTTTGATGTTAAGAAATGGAGGGTTATAAGACTGGCTTGGGACTTTAGCATGAATTTGTTTGTACGGAATCTAAGCATACTTGAGCTTTTCCTTTTATGGCTCTCCTGCATGCAACCCCTTTGCCAAATGCATCCCTCTGGCATGAAATTCACTGCTATTAGAATAAGCTGAAAACAAGCAGATTACACAGCCCATAAAAAGTTCATTGTTGTCTCATAAACAGATACTTGGGAAATTCTATTTTGTGTCTTAGAGCAAAATCTCTTATGTGTGATGATTGATAACACTGTATTTCTCAGCACATTGTGTGATAGTGGCTTGATTAGCCATCTTATTTTCATTTATTTCTGAAGCTGTTTTTCCCAGATTTGTTATTGAGGGTTTTCATGAAGCTGATGCTTAATCCCTTGGTTCTTACTTTGATTTAATGCTTGCTCAGAACAGATGTAAGATTTCACAGCTTACATTTAGATAATTTCCCTTATTACCTCAGGCTTTCTAAATGAAACAGAGTAATTATACTTGTATCTGATTCCTGAATGTTTGTTGATTAACAAAGAAATTGATATATTAGGTCTAAAATTCTACGATAGGGAGCATTGCAGCATAAATCAGAGTATCTGGCTTCCACTGATGCATAGTACAATAAAATGGAGAGCTTTAGTGTAACAAAACACTTGCCTTTTGACTCAATGGGAAATATTAAAAAAAAACCAAACAAAACCAGATCCACCTCTTCAAGGAAGAAAATAAGGATTTTCTGGATTACAGTCTTCTTGTTTACCAAGTTTACTTTGAAATTCACTGTACTGAATACAGATTATTTCAATACAGATGCAGATGGATTTCAGGGCTTGATTTTTGTTGACTGTAGACTAACCCATCAGCTGTATTACCTCTGTTACTTCTTTTTTACTTCTTATTAACTTCTTCATAATTCCTCATAATACCTGTTTCTGGTAAATATGTTGAACACTTAGCTGTGACTTTTTCTAAAAGCACTGCTGAAAAATGTTTTCCTTTTCTTATGGCATAATAAATACTTCAGTTATTTTATTATGTGTGAGCTGCTGTTGTTATCTCCACAATCCATAGTAGCCCAGAAGGTCTCTACTCACAACTGCTTGCAAGATCTCTAGACAAATAAAATTGTAAGGAAAGGGAAGTTTAGTTATGGCAGTTATAGAAGGCTTAGAGATGTAAGAGTGTCAAATAGCAGCTAACAAAACCAGTTATAACTGTACTCTTAATCACAGCTATCCCCCTTAATTTTAGTTTTAGGATGACTCAGCTGTTCCCTTGCACAACATTTGTTTCTGAAGATCCCACAGTGTCTCTAATGCCAGAGCAATGCTGAGAGTGTAACCTCAATAACTAAATCTCATTCTTTTGTCTGTGCTTTTAGAAGTGTCTCTCCTCACCTTTATGCACTTTTCCACATGAAGGTTTGTATTTGTGTGTGTGATTACCTAAATACTGTGTGATAGCTATAGAGACTTTTTTACCCACAAAGCAGGAGTACAAATCATATTTTAGCTTGCATTTGATAAAGCATATCATCTACTTCAGAAACTGTGAAATGGCCCTCTAAGCCC